ATAGAAAAACCCCTCAAAAAAAAAAAAAAAAAAAAGAAAGAAAGAAAGAAAGAGAGAAAGGAAGAGAAAGAAAGTGGGGCAGGAAATTTGCCAGGTCCAGGATTCGAACCATAGTCAACCATGTGGGAGTCTAGTACCACAACCACTTCGCCACCTGCTGGCCCTTCACCTGGCAGATCTTAATAATCAATAATAAAACATTGGGGCTGGCAAGTGGCATGGTGGTTAAAGGCGCTGGACTCCCACATGGCCGACCACGGTTCAAGTCTCAGACCTGGTGGCTTGCTTTCTCACTTCCTCTCTCTCTCTCTGTCTCTCTCTGGTCAAACTGGAAAATAATAATGATAATAATAATAATAAATAAAGTTAAATAAAATAATTCTTTAAAAAAATAAAAAACATAGAAAAACAATAAAACATTAATGAATTTTGCATAGTCACTTATATATCATACTCTGTTCAAATTTATGAAATGGAATATAATTTCTAAAGTTACAGGCAGACTCCCTCAAACAGCTGTCATCACCAGAATCTAGCAGCACATAAAAAGCTCCCAGAAATTTTGATACTCTGCTGTAAGGCTGAAATAAAACATCTTTAATGTCCCTGTGAGGAAATTCTCAAAGAGGACAAAAAGATTGACTTCAAGAAAATGTAAGCAGTCCTAAGAGACATACAAAATCTTTCCTGAAGACTGCACAGAAGATGTTTTCAAGATGTATTCCCGAAGACTGGTACTCACTGGGTTAAGTGTTTCTTCGACAGAATGGTAAACCGTCCACCAGTCCGAAGTCCACTCCCAGGCGTTCCCCACTATGTTGTACAGGCCATAACCGTTAGGAGGAAAGGCATCAACCTGACAATAAAGACGGGGAGAGAAAATGTCAAAACTACTCATCTTGTTCAGAAAACTTCTTTGTACAGAAATTCACCAAGTGCCATAACTTCTGACTATCAATACTAATTTTCATTCCAAGTTATAATTTGGCCAACAGAAAAACAAAGAAAGAAGCCATTTCTTTGGTTCTGAAATCTCAAGGGGAGCTTAGAAACCTACAGAAAATTTAGAGTAAACGGTATGAAAGTCTGTGAAATTATTCCTATGGAGTGGCTAATACTCATCATAAATCCACATCTGACAGTGGGTATGTGTGTGCGGAGCAACAGAGAGTATAGAAAATATTTAGACTTTCAAAATCATTAATAGGACATCACACTAGCCCCAGTGTGAGTCCTGTCATGAAAGCTCGGTTCTGCTGGCCATATCTCTTTCAGCAGTGAGAGACCCCAACTCAGTTATGTCCTCTGCACCAGCTTCCTTCAACTCACAAGCTTATCTTTAAGCTTCAGTCATTATCAGGAAAACACTGAGGGGATTTGTTCTTAAAAAGAAAATGTAAACTTATTATCAACTGTATTTGTAATAGAAGGTTTGTAGTCTCTGGAATTGGGAGTCTAAGGAAAATGGTACATTACATTCTTCATCAAGGAATTATATACCACATTTCAAAGAAGGGTTGGCCAGTATGCTCCATAATATTGTCAAAGTGTGGAATTTTTATAAAAGGAAGAAGGGTAAGAGAAAATAAAATTTTAACTGAACAATAGTTAAATGCCGGGACCAGCAGTTAGTGTTAATGGCTATGTCGCTGGACTCCCATGTAGTCGACCGCGGTTCAAGTCCCGGACCTGGTAGCTTAAACTCACGCCAGGCACGTGTGCATGCGTGCCCAAGATCCCGAGAGGAGAATGGAGGAGAAGGGATTGCTGCGTGGCCATGACCCCTGGGGGGTGATTTCTCACTTTCTGTCTCTCTGTCTCTGTCTGTCTGGCGAGTGCACGTGCCCTATAGCAAAAACCTCTCCAAAAAAAAAAGTTAAATGCAGAGGCCATCCAGTGCTATCGTGGCTACAGTGGCTGTATCCCACGTAGCTTGACTGTGCAGTTAAAAAACACACCTGGCACGTGTGCACGCGTGATCAAAATCCTGAGAGACAAGGATGTGGCATACCCTTCCTCTCTTGAGAGTGTTTTCTCGCTTTCCCTCTCTCTCTCTCTGGGGAGCACATATACCCTCCTATACCAATGTGAAAAAGAAAGGAAAATGAAGAATAGCTTTACTAGTTTAGTGACTTAAAAATTTTCCCAATCTTTTCTTAATGAAAATTCTCCAACGTAAGGGAAAGTTTATCTTTACTCTTTTAAAAAAAAAAAAAATCAAGTTATCCTTGGTATCTTTTTTGTAAATGCATGCTTTTCCCATACAAATGAAATAAGACTGAAGAATGAATAAACTGAAATTCATTTCAGCGTGGCTTCAGATGGCTTCGCATCTATCCATGAATGTGGAAGCATCTGATACTGGGCACTTCAGCACTCGAGTGGAAAAAACTTCATCTGGATATGTTGGAAAGCTGAGACAGCTCCCACTCTGCGTTCACTATGGAAACAGCAGCGCTTACTCACTGATTCCCTCAGTAATTCCATGTATAGTGACTAAAGGCAAGGAGGGCTTCAATGACATGTAAGACTTCAGAGACTTTAATAAAAGAAAACAGAGAACACCAGGACCAGCAGTTAGCATAATAGCTATGTTGCTGGACTCCCATGTAGTCGACCGTGGTTCAAGTCCCAGACGCAGTGGCTTAAATTCATGCCAGGCACATGTGCGTGCATGCCAAGATCCCCGAGAGGAGAAGGGATTGCGGCGTGGCCATCCGCCTGGGGGGTGATTTCTCGCTTTCTGTCTCTCTGTCTTTCTCTGTCTGTCTGGCAAGTGCACAAGCCCTATAGCAAAAACCTCTCAAAAAAAAAAAAAAGAACACCAAAAATTAAAAATCCAATTTTCAAAGGTAGAGTGGGATGATTTGGATAAAGGAATAAAAGAAAACACCATTCAAGAGAGAGGAATTTCTGGTTGAAAGTATTTTTTTTTAAGAATTAATTTATTCATTCATTCATTCATTCATTCATTTTGACCAGAGAAGGACAGAGTGAGAGAGAAAAAAGGAAAGGAAGCAAGTAAGCCATGAGGTCCAGAATACAAATCACAGTCAGTCATGTGGGAGTCCGGCGCCCTTAACCACCATGCCATCTGCTGGGCCCTGATTGAAGGTATTCTCCCCAACAGGTTGAGCTGTCTGGGTGGACCTTAAAATAGGGGTTGGAGATTGAAAGGTAAAAGACAGAAAGGAGGAGAGGCCATGAGCATAATCTGTTTTTTAAGAATAAGGAGATGATCAGAAATGAGCAAGATAGAATAGCAGCTGGAAGGGGTAGAAAGGCAAAGAAGAAATCCATTTGTTTCAGGGCGAGAAGGGAAGAAGCCAGGGCTAGAGCACGAGTGATTAAATGGTGAAACAAACATTCTAGAGGAAAGGATTGTTCAGTCTTGTAGAAAACATGGCAGAGATGCTCTCAAATCAGACTGCCTAAGAATCTGTCTACTCACCCACACTTAGCCAGTGTTAGGCAAGCAATTTATCCTGTGCAGATGCCATCAGTCCATAAAATAGAAAAATATAGGGAACCAGCAGTTAGCGTAATGGCTATGTCGCTGGACTCCCACGTAGTCAACCACAGTTCGTGTCCCGGACCCGGTGACTTAGAACTCACGCTGGGCGCGTGTGCGTGCGTGCCCAAGATCCCGAGAGGAGAATGGAGGAGAAGGGATTGCGGCGTGACCATCCCCCCTGGGGGGTGATTTCTTGTTTTCTGTCTCTCTGTCTCTCTCTGTCTGTCTGGCGAGCACATGCGCCCTATAGCAAAAACCTCTCCAAAAAAGAAAGAAAAAAAGAAAAATATAATACTGTATCTACTCAAAGATTTGGTTTTTCTCGCTTTAAATAATTTGACATTTACTGAGATACAATTTGGAGATTAACACCCTCAAAATTACTATAGGGAGAACAGGCCTTCTTTAAGAGACAGCTCCATGGCTCCTGCAATCTAGCCATTTTGGGGGAAACGGAGAAATGAAGAGGTCCCACTGATAATTTGGCTCCAGCATACAAAACTCACATGATAGGAAGACCCCTTTCAGGCCTCCTGTCTCTGTATCTGTCTTTGTCTCTCTCTACCTCTGTCTCTGCCTTCTCTCTCTTTTTTTTTAATTTTTGCTTTTTAGAATTTTTTTAAGGTGAGGCATTTTTCTGGGCCTTTGGCCCCTCCTAGCCCTTTATCTTGTTAATAATTCCCTCTCCCCCTCCCAACCCAGGAGAGGTGGAAAGGTACAGAACAGGCCTTCTTCAAGAGACAGCTCCATGGCTCCTGCGATCTAGCCATTTCGTGTGGTGCTTGCACGTCATGCGGTTTGCTAATTTTGGGGTTTCATTGAAATTTTTTTTTGTTTTTGAGAGGTTTTTCGCTATAGGGCGCGTGCCCTCGCCAGACAGACAGAGAGAGACATAGAGACAGAAAGCGAGAAATCACCCCCCGGGGGGATGGTCACGCTGCAATCCCTTCTCCTCCAATCTCCTCTCGGGATCTTGGGCACGCACGCACACACGCCCGGCGTGAGTTTTAAGCCACCAGGTCCAGGACGCAAACCGCGGTCAAATACGTGGGAGTCCAGTGACATAGCCATTACGCTAACTGCTGGTTCCCATTGAAATTTTTTTAATATTACTTTTCTTTTAGTTTCACTTAAAAGGTTTTCTCTTGATTTTTTCCTTCTCTTTTTCTCTGTTTCTTGTCTGTTTTTTTGCTGTTGTTGCTATTGTTTCCCTCTCTCTGTTTCCTTTTCTACACACTCCTCGACCCTCAGATTGAACTTCCAAGTTTGGGAAGAAACAGACCATCCACCAGATGACTAGAAATTGCTGCAGGACCACAAGAAATATGGGGAAGCAGGAAAATACCTCTCCTCCAAGGGGAAAGGATAACTCCTCTTCATCCACACACAGTTCAATGGAAATCATGGAAATGTTTGATAAAGAATTCAGAACATTCATAATGGCAAAGCTAATAGAGATGGAAGAGAAGAGAGACAATGAACTGCTGAAGAGGAAGGAGAAAGAAGTTGAAGAGTTCCAGGAGGTGAGGAAATTCATGCAAGATCTAAAAGAGGAATTTCACACTTTACAAAAGAATCATCAGATGGAACTGTTAGAGATGAAGGCTATAATACAAGAAATCAAAATTTCTCTTGAAAGTATTAAAAGCAGACTGGATCATACAGAAAATAGAATCTCAGACGTAGAAGAGAAAATTGCTGGCTAGAAAATTCCACCATAAAGACTGAGAAAATGGCCCCAAAATTTGAGAATAATATATGAGAAATACTAGATAGAATTAAACGTCCAAACATCCGGATAATAGGCATCCCAGAAGGTGAAGAGACTCATAAGGGCATTGATAATCTATTCCAGGAAATCCTGCAAGAAAACTTTCCAAACCTGGAGAGGCACTCAAAGATTCAGTCCCAAGAAATACAGAGGACCCCAAATAGAATCAACCCAAGAAAATCTTCTCCAAGACACATTAAAGCCAGGTTGACCAAAACCACAGACAAAGACAAGATACTAAGATTGGCAAGAGAAAAACATCAAGTTACCT